CGAGGTAGAGAAAATTGGGAGTAAAGTTAAGCCTGGGAAGAAGGGAGGGGTGGGGGGAAGGTGTTTTAAGATTTGGTTTTATTTCTCATTATCCTACTCTGATTTGATTGGTAATAAATTAAACTAACTTCCCCAAGTCAAGTCTGTTTTGCCTGTGACGGTAATTGGTGAGTGATCTCCCTGTCCTTATCTCGACCCACAAGCCTTTCTTTATATTTTCTCTCCCCTGTCCAGCTGAGGAGGGGAGTGATAGAGCGGCTTTGGTGGGAACCTGGCGTCCAGCCGGGGTGAACCCACCACAGACGTTCACAAGGTTTCAGCTCCTTAAATGCAGATGTGAAGCCACTGACATCCAGGGAGGAAAGCCAGTGCTGCCTTTTTCCCATGTAGACATTTCACACCCAATCCCGTCAGCACACGTGCTGTCAGTCTGTTATTTCCACGCTAGGACATTGACTCAAACCTTTTGTAATTCTTGAAGACACTGACAACTGGTTTTGTGCTTCCTGTCATAATATCTCAAAATCAGATTTTTCTTATTGGCTCTTCCTGCTTCTCACTATGACTCCCATGCTCTGTCTGCTGGGATTTCAGGTTTGTAGTCCAGTCCAGCAGGCTGGTCATACGTTGACATATGTATCATACCAGGGAAGAGTTTTCACCTCCCCAGCTGCCGGGGCAGTCGTGTTCAGACACGCTGAGTGAGGTCTGTGCATCTGTGCTACACCACCACTGTTGCAGAGAAGTATAGCCAGCCCATCAGCTTTCTAAAATCCTCCAGAGCCTCCCTTTATCTGCTTCACATCAGACCTTGTCACCCTGGTATCATCAAAACTTGTTGCTGTTTGCTGCATAACACTTCGCAAGCTGAAAACAACCCGGATAAAATGACCGAGATGTCCGGCTGTGGCAATGGCCTGCACTGACAAGACCTCTTATCCCCTGAAGGCTCCTGCTTGAACCCTGCAGGCACAGTGCAGTGGAGATGGAAACTGGTACTGGCCAGCTTCCCTTCCCAGTTGAAGGAAATATTTTATTTTTCTATGTGGTTTTGTTCTGTACCTTCCTGTAGTTTCTGCCTTTACCATGGTGCCCCTTTCCCCTGCAGCAATCCGTATGCCCAGCAAGGTCTCTGCCTATTGCTCTGCATTCCCTAGGGCTATAGCTCATCCATCTCCTTCTTCAGGGTAAGAGAATTAGGAGCTACAGAAAGTCACTGTTTTAAACGCAGCCTTTCACTTGTTAACCTACTGTTAACTTCCTTCAGTGTTAATGATGCCCCTTCTGGCAACACCATGGCTCATGTATCTGTCCAAATTCAAACAAACAATTATCTAAAAACAGTAAGTGCTGCTTGCACTGCTACTTTTATTAAGAGTAGCTCGGAGCCAGGAGCTGGGCCAGTCTCAGACATTTCATTCCACCCTTGATGCTTGCAAATGCCTGGGAAGTGACACAACCCACTGCAGTGCTGGTCTCTTTTCCAGACATGAGGTCATGGCATGGCCCGGTGGCATTGCCAGTCGCAGCTTCATGTGCTGCTTGAGAAACCGCAGCACCTCTGTGCCCCAGAGGTCTGCCTTGCTCCTGCGTTCTGGATTCTCCGCTGTACAGGCCATGGAGGGACCACGGGTATCAAACAAACACTTCAGTCTGGGTGGGAGACTTCCTTTACACAGTGATTTAATCCTTTTGTTGAGACCTAACAGGGAACTTCTCAAAGTTTGAGTATTACTTTAGATCCAAACTGCAATGTAGACCTTTATCTAGGACTCAGTTAATATCATCTAAAAGGCTGAAGAGAAACAAAACACGGAGCGAAGTGTATTTCCCAGTTGCAGCCGCCAGCAGGTGGTGGGATGTGGGGTGGGTTGGCCAGCTGCACCTCTCCCCGCTGCAATGCCCCCACCTCGACGCTTCGCCCTGTTCAGCTGCTGCCGGTGCCCCGCCGCTCGAGCCTCTGCCCCACCGCGCGGGGTGCTGGAAAGCCTCCACTGCCCACCGCTCTCGCCAGGCAGTGGACAAACGTCCCTGCCAGCTGCTTCCACCCAGGCCCCAGGCAGGCGCTGCCTCATCTAGGAAACTAAAATCACACACCCTTTCCTCGTCTTTGCTTTGGAGAGAGTATGGCAAACTTTTCCTTGGGAAGACAAATCCCCAGCCCTCTCCATCATTCCACCATTTGCCACTTCCACCATTTGCCATCATTCCACTCCTTTGCTCTCCTGGATGCGGCAGCATCTCCCACGTGGTGGGCAGCCCCCTTCTCCGCTATGCTTCCCCTTTCAGCCTTTTCACCACCCATCCTAAGTTAGACTTGGCTCCAAAGCTTCCACTCCTCTGATCTTCTTGTGGAAGGACTGCTTCATTTGAAAAAAAAAAAAAAAAAAAAAAAAAAAAAAAAAAATAAATTTATCCAGAACTCCAGGACTTTCTCCCCATTTACTCGTCTGAGGTTATCACTAAATTAAAAGATAACATCAGCCCCATAGCCATTCCAGGTAACACAGCTACCGGGAAACAAATATAAACTGGCTGCAGAGCCATTTTTATGTAAGCCCTGCACACAGACACATCCAGAGACCTTCCCACTGCAAAAAGAGATCAGCTGGGAATGGTCCAAGAGACAGAACCATGTCAGAGCAGCTCACCCATCACGTAGTTGTTAGATATTCCAGTGGGTACACAAACCAGTTAACCAGTAAACTATCTTCTTATAGCTAGATAAGCTATAATATAAACTATGATAAAACAGTGAGCTTTAACCTCACTGTTATCAATACAAAAATTAAAACCTAGTAACTTCATACTCACGTTTGCCTTAAAACACATAATACATGCTTTCAAGATATTTTCCTCATTTAGGTGATTAATTCTACATGGAGCTACAAACAAAAGACATCTGCCACGATTTGTCTATCTCAGATAGTAAAATACCTGAAGGCAAGAAAATATTGCATGAATCCTCTTAAGATCAGTGGGTTATTTATGCTAACAAGGACATGATGCCTTATCCCATCTTTATAGTAGGTTCTGATGCCATGTGTTAGTCTCATTACTTGCATAAAAACCTGTGTTAGGAAACCAAATTATTTAAAGATTACACGAAAAAGGGTAATAAAGATGTGAAACCTGAACTTTTCTCCATTCTACATGCATGCATCATAATTTTGGGGCAAGTCATAAGCTCTGCTGCAGCTTTTAGTATTTTACTCCCTGCTGCTGCTGCAGAGGAACTGGTGTGGAAGCAGAGTGCGTTGGTCGGGGGTCAGGGGTTAGTGTCCTGGGGAACACCAGGGCTCCTCTGCTTCTGTCACATGGGCACTTACTGACCTTGGGCCAGATGTCTTGCTGCATAACTCTCTTATAAAATAGGAATGAGGGTATTTAGCATGCTTGAAAGGTGGAAATAGGAGCTAATGGGGAATTTCCCGCTGACTGCAACGTTGCACAACCAGGTGCTGTTCAACTGCATGCAGAGGAGGAAGACAAAAGCAGCAGAGAGCTCGGAGTTGTTAAAAATAAATCAATGATGGCAGGGTCCAGGACAGGCTGTCTTCAGCCAAGTTTGCATATTGGTTACATCTCCTCTAAGCTACATTCTCAAAGCACGCACACACAAAAAATCTGTTCTGCAAGAAAGGCTTGAAAACGTGTTTGTCAGCAAATAATTAGCTTACAGCCTGAGTAAGTATGTCTCAGGGGCTTGGCCCGGCTGTTCTTGCTTAGCCAGCACCTCCCAGGAGCTCTGCCCAGGCACTCAGCACAGGAGAAGGCCATAAGCTCAACAACCACACTGACATTTGCTACAACAAAACTTAAGCAGTTAAAGAATCAGTTTTATTTAACTTTATTAAGCTACTGCTGAGTGCTTAGTGCAGTTACCGTATCTGTGCCAAACCCCAAATTTAACATCTCCTTTAGCCTAATTAAACTAATCAAATGGATTTAAATATACTCAGTCACCACTGAGCACAGCTGTTAAAAACCTCTCTTGTAGACTCTGACCTCTCTTATTAGTAAGACAGTTAAGGATAGAGATGAACTCTGCAATTCTTAATATAACCGAGAGCTAACGGGAACAGTTGCTGTGATTTAATTAAGCGGTGAGATGCAACGCCTGCGTTTACATCGCAGAGGCTGCCAGCCAGAAGCAAGACCCCGTTGCAGGGAGCTGCTAACAGGCACGCATGGAGAAGCCATCATCCCAGCGCCAGCAGTAAATAACTGCAAGGCTACATAGATTTCCCTCCCTTTGAGGGAGAAGTTTGCCATTCCCACTTATCTTTTACAATTTGAGTTTTATTATTAGCCATTTATTTGCAGATTGCATTAAAAAATACCCAGTCTGTTGTGTTTTAGCTGGCTGCAGCAAGGAGCCCCACTCCACTGACTTCAGCTGGTTTCCTCGTTTCTTTTTCTGCGTTTATCAGCATGTAACCCCTCTCTCTGCCTGTACAGGACTGAAGAGTCAGCATGTCCCTCGGGAGACAAGCGGCATTACACACTGGGGGTGTCCCCCCACTTCTTTGGAAAATCAGCTCTCTATTCCCTCTGCAAGGTTTTCCTATAGTTCTGGGCTACATTTCCCTGTTTGACTTTCATTCCTGTAGCACTCACGGTGGGTTAGGCTGAACAGAGCCTCCCTGCCTCTCTTCTGCCGTCTTTTTCTCTCCCAGTGACCATCAGCAATATTAGAAAGCGCTTTGAACTGTGATACACCTGGAGTGGTTTGTCAATGCAGGATGACTCCACAGCACTGAGATTTTAGGAACTGTATGACCCAAATTTGTTAAAAAACTGGTTTCTGGAAATACCTTAAAACTGTCAACGTTAATGTCTTTGGTTCTTCCTACAGTATCTACCCAAAACTGACAGGTTTTACTCAAGACAAGGAAGAAATCTTGTGACCCGATACGCGCTGGGGGACTCTCAGGCCTCACAGTCTCTTTTTGAAACCACCAGCGCTGGCACGGCCGGAGGAGTCCGTCTGCAAAGGGGTTCGGGTTGCAGACACCTCTGCATCCTGCGCAGGACCAGGGCCATGTGCTGGGCACCGGGCCACTGTCTGGCTCATTATTTTCCTGATGGTAGGAGCGCAATATTAGGACAACAAACTGTTTCTGTGTAAGAGTTATTAAGAAAAGAAATAAATAAATAAAAAAATCGAAGTGATACAGTATTCCTTATCGCACCCCAAAAATCAGCCATACAAATCATGATGGGTGGTGGTGAGCACGTACAACAAGTTTTTCCTTTCTTGGGGAAGAAGAGACTGAAGATGGAGGGACAAGCAGGAAGGGAGAAAGGGCCATAAAAAGGAACAAATTTCAATGTGCCGTTATAATCTTTGACCATTTTCTCCCTGACAAGCAAATCTGCAGAGCATTTAAGATCGATATGTGACGGAGAGTCAGCCAGAGAGGGAGGAGCAGAGGGACATGCCACTTGAGCTGGCACGCCAGAGGATCTTTAAATAGAAAAGCTTTCAGGGAACTCAGGGCAGGCGGTTACTGCACAAAACTTAATTACAGCCATACACATCCGAAACACCCCCCAATAACAACCTT